ATAGGGAATCGTATGTTGTGATAGGGAATCGTATGTTGTGATAGGGAATCGTATGTTGTGATAGGGAATCGTATGGTGTGATAGGGAATCGCATGGTGTGAGGGAATCGTATTTGTGATAGGGAATCGTATGGTGTGATAGGGAATCGTATGGTGTGATAGGGAATCGCATGGTGTGATAGGGAATCGTATGGTGTGATAGGGAATCGTATGGTGTGATAGGGAATCGTATGGTGTGATAGGGAATCGTATGATGTGTTTAGAATTGTATCTCATCAAATCATATGGTGTGATATCGAATCCTAATTGCATCGTATCGAATGTTTTCGGGCATGGAATCTAATCTTATCGTGTTGTATCGTAACGAATCGTATCGTATCAAATCGTACGGGAGCAAACTGTATTGCATCATCCTCTTTTGAATTGTATCAAGTCTTATGGTATGGTTGGGTATGGAATCTCATCTTATCATATTGTATTGTATCGTAACAAATCGTATCGTATTGTAACAAATGGTACTAAGTATGAAAGGACCTCCTCCTCAGCTGCTGGTGGCCGAGGTGCACCGGCGCGTGGTTATGGAGTATCTGCGCTCCGTCATGAGAGGAAGAATCATCTGCACCTCCATGAAGATGAGGAAGAGGATGGCAGGCCGCCTGCGAGACGAAGGCAAACAGATCAAAGTCCTCTTCAAAGACCTGGTCAGTGCCAATATATATAGAGATAGGAGAGGACTCTTTAAAGTAGAGACACTACATACTGATATACACCTGAACATCAGCAGTAGAGGACTCTTTAAAGTAGAGACACTACATACTGATATACACCTGAACATCAGCAGTAGAGGACTCTTTAAAGTAGAGACACTACATACTGATATACACCTGGACATCAGCAGGAGAGGACTCTTTAAAGTAGAGACACTACATACTGATATACACCTGAACATCAGCAGGAGAGGACTCTTTAAAGTAGAGACACTACATACTGATATACACCTGGACATCAGCAGGAGAGGACTCTTTAAAGTAGAGACACTACATACTGATATACACCTGAACATCAGCAGTAGAGGACTCTTTAAAGTAGAGACACTACATACTGATATACACCTGAACATCAGCAGGAGAGGACTCTTTAAAGTAGAGACACTACATACTGATATACACCTGGACATCAGCAGGAGAGGACTCTTTAAAGTAGAGACACTACATACTGATATACACCTGAACATCAGCAGGAGAGGACTCTTTAAAGTAGAGACACTACATACTGATATACACCTGGACATCAGCAGGAGAGGACTCTTTAAAGTAGAGACACTACATACTGATATACACCTGGACATCAGCAGGAGAGGACTCTTTAAAGTAGAGACACTACATACTGATATACACCTGAACATCAGCAGGAGAGGACTCTTTAAAGTAGAGACACTACATACTGATATACACCTGAACATCAGCAGGAGAGGACTCTTTAAAGTAGAGACACTACATACTGATATACACCTGGACATCAGCAGGAGAGGACTCTTTAAAGTAGAGACACTACATACTGATATACACCTGAACATCAGCAGGAGAGGACTCTTTAAAGTAGAGACACTACATACTGATATACACCTGAACATCAGCTGGAGAGGACTCTTTAAAGTAGAGACACTACATACTGATATACACCTGAACATCAGCAGGAGAGGACTCTTTAAAGTAGAGACACTACATACTGATATACACCTGAACATCAGCAGGAGAGGACTCTTTAAAGTAGAGACACTACATACTGATATACACCTGAACATCAGCAGGAGAGGACTCTTTAAAGTAGAGACACTACATACTGATATACACCTGAACATCAGCAGGAGAGGACTCTTTAAAGTAGAGACACTACATACTGATATACACCTGAACATCAGCAGGAGAGGACTCTTTAAAGTAGAGACACTACATACTGATATACACCTGAACATCAGCAGGAGAGGACTCTTTAAAGTAGAGACACTACATACTGATATACACCTGAACATCAGCAGGAGAGGACTCTTTAAAGTAGAGACACTACATACTGATATACACCTGAACATCAGCAGGAGAGGACTCTTTAAAGTAGAGACGCTACATACTGATATACACCTGAACATCAGCAGGAGAGGACTCTTTAAAGTAGAGACACTACATACTGATATACACCTGAACATCAGCAGGAGAGGACTCTTTAAAGTAGAGACGCTACATACTGATATACACCTGAACATCAGCAGGAGAGGACTCTTTAAAGTAGAGACACTACATACTGATATACACCTGAACATCAGCAGGAGAGGACTCTTTAAAGTAGAGACACTACATACTGATATACACCTGAACATCAGCGGGAGAGGACTCTTTAAAGTAGAGACACTACATACTGATATACACCTGAACATCAGCAGGAGAGGACTCTTTAAAATAATAAACATCCAGAGTCCAGCGCAGACTTCTGTTGTTGAAGGGTCACGTTTCAGAGCATTGATGATATGACTTGTCTCCTCTCAGGAGTCTCCGTCCTGCTGGTTGGACGGAGCCATCGCTCACCTCTCAGAGATCATCCAGCTGGAGGACGTGCCCTCGATCCAGATGGAGGTCGGGGTCCTGGTGCGGGAGTTTCCAGACGTCAGGTACGAAGGAAATACACAGAGGTGGAAAGAAACTAAGTACCGTATTGACCCTGAATATAAGACCCATCTCGAGAAGCGGCCCCTTTTCTCTGACTGGTTACATTTATACGGCGGCCTTTTTGGGCTCGACATCTTCTAACACTCAGTAACACCATCATCTAACGTTAATCTCAGTAACTCCATATTTCTTTGCTGCTCAGTTGTTTGATGACTTCGTTGATCACCATTATCTTAAAATTGGCATCGTAACTTCTCCTCTTGTTTATTAACTCGTCTACTTTTGATCCACTGTGTTGGAGTTGGTCTCTGTCTCTCCTTCTCTCTCGCTGGGGGAACACTCGTTTGGCGCCATCTGTTGTAGTGATTGTGTAATTACATCGAAAAGTCTAGACCCCGAATATAAGACGACTAGGAAAAAGAACAGTCTTATATTCGGCTCAATACGGTATAAATACTCAAGTACTGTACTTAAGTACAATTTAGAGGTACTTGTACTTAACTTGAGTATTTTCATGTTCTGCTACTGTGTACTTCTACTCCTCTACAGTTCAGAGGTACATGGTGTACTTCTACTCCACTACATGTATTTAATACCTTTAGTTACTTCACAGATGTGGATGAATGATGTGAAATATAATCAAGTGTTAAATCAGACGTTAGTTCCACCTGGAGTAAATCCACAAGCTACCCTGCAGTATACAAAGTCATTCAAACTAGCTGCACCTTTACCAGCTTTGAGAACACTTTCATGATCAATCATTATAAAACATATCATATATATTATTCTGAAATGGACCAATCTGCACAATGACTACTTTTACTGTCTCTACTTTCACTATATTTTGATGAGAATACTTTTATACTTTCACTTGAAGAACATTTTGAATGCTTTTACTGTAACAGAGTATTCCTACACTCTGGTACTTCTACTTTTACTCAAGTACAATATCTGAGTACTTCTACTTTTACTCAAGTACAATATCTGAGTACTTCTACTTTTACTCAAGCACAAGATCTGAGTACTTCTACTTTTACTCAAGTACAAGATCTGAGTACTTCTACTTTTACTCAAGTACAAGATCTGAGTACTTCTACTTTTACTCAAGTACAAGATCAGAGTACTTCTACTTTTACTCAAGTACAAGACCTGAGTACTTCTACTTTTACTCAAGTACAAGATCTGAGTACTTCTACTTCTACTCAAGTACAAGATCTGAGTACTTCTACTTTTACTCAAGTACAAGATCTGAGTACTTCTACTTTTACTCAAGCACAAGATCTGAGTACTTCTACTTTTACTCAAGCACAAGATCTGAGTACTTCTACTTTTACTCAAGTACAAGACCTGAGTACTTCTACTTTTACTCAAGTACAAGATCTGAGTACTTCTACTTTCTACTCAAGTACAAGATCTGAGTACTTCTACTTTTACTCAAGTACAAGACCTGAGTACTTCTACTTTTACTCAAGTACAAGATCTGAGTACTTCTACTTTTACTCAAGTACAAGATCTGAGTACTTCTACTTTTACTCAAGTACAAGATCTGAGTACTTCTACTTTTACTCAAGTACAAGATCTGAGTACTTCTACTTTTACTCAAGTACAAGATCTGAGTACTTCTACTTTTACTCAAGGAGAAGACCTGAGTACTTCTACTTTTACTTTTGGTACTTTAACTATATTTTGATGCTAATACTTTTCTACTTGTACAGGTGTATCAGTGTACTTTAATGTGTGCTTTCTTTTTAAACTACAGAATGCTGTAAGAGAATATTAATATGTTTAGTAAATGATGTTTTGTTTCTTTCTGTTTCGTCTCTGCTCCAGGAAGAAGCACGTGTCGGCCATCTTGAACATCCGGGGCCTGACGCGTCAGTCGGAGCGTCAGGAGATCCTGAACATCGTGAAGGACCTGGAGAGCAGCGAGGCGGCGGGCGGTTCGATGCCGACACGCGAGCGCCTGCTGTTCCACGAGGTGCCGGTCACCTCCGAGGTGCCCTGCCTGAACCTGGGTCTGAGCCGGGTCGCCCTCAGCGCCTCGACCTGCTTCACTGCTCTGAGGCCGAGGCAGAGGAGAGGCAGGAAGACCAGCCAGGAGACCACAGAGGACGGACTCTGAGAAGAGACCAGGAGGAAAGACCAGGAGGAAAGACCAGGAGGAAAGACCAGGAGGAAAGACCAGGAGGAAAGACCAGGAGGGAAGACCAGGAGGAAAGACCAGGAGGAAAGACCAGGAGGAAAGACCAGGAGGAAAGACCAGGAGGGAAGACCAGGAGGAAAGACCAGGAGGAAAGACCAGGAGGAAAGACCAGGAGGGAAGACCAGGAGGAAAGACCAGGAGGAAAGACCAGGAGGACACAGAGGACGGACTCTGAGAGAAGACCAGGAGGAAAGACCAGGAGGAAAGACCAGGAGGAAAGACCAGGAGGAGAGACCAGGAGGACACAGAGGACGGACTCTGAGAGAAGACCAGGAGGAAAGACCAGGAGGAAAGACCAGGAGGAAAGACCAGGAGGAAAGACCAGGAGGACACAGAGGACGGACTCTGAGAGAAGACCAGGAGGAAAGACCAGGAGGAAAGACCAGGAGGAAAGACCAGGAGGAAAGACCAGGAGGAAAGACCAGGAGGAAAGACCAGGAGGAAAGACCAGGAGGGAAGACCAGGAGGACACAGAGGACGGACTCTGAGAGAAGACCAGGAGGAAAGACCAGGAGGAAAGACCAGGAGGAAAGACCAGGAGGAAAGACCAGGAGGAAAGACCAGGAGGAGAGACCAGGAGGAAAGACCAGGAGGAGAGACCAGGAGGAAAGACCAGGAGGACACAGAGGACGGACTCTGAAATTGAGAACGTTGAATACATTTCTAATCTTTATAGGATCATAAATGGCAGTTCCGAATCCCGAAAACTTTAAAATCTGCCCAAAAGTCATCCAATCAGTCCAGAGAGCACAAACATATGAAGACAATAGCGTCTAAACGACTTGGCCCATTTTTGACAGTTTTGAAGTGTTTTTTTATGTTGTAGTAATAGTTTTTATGTTGAATCAATGACATTTTTAGGATCATTTATGGCAGTTTTGAGTCCCCCGAAAACGTTTAAATCGACCCAAAATTAGAAGACAAAGATTTAGTCTAAACCCCGACGACGCCCTCTGAAACTCAGGGAGAAAAGACAAGGATTTAGATTAGAGCCAGCGCCAGCACATAGAAACTGCTGGATACTAAGATAAGATAAGATAAGAAGTACTTTATTGATCCCAATTTGGGAAATGTTCGTATGTTGGGACATGTACACAGTTAGTAGTAACTTAAGTTAATTAGCATTTAAAGACAATAGCTTCTAAATGGCTTGGTCGATTTGGACAGTTTTGAAGTGTTTTTTGGAGCTTATTGAGGACCTCCGAGGGGCCCTGCCTGAACCTGGGTCTGAGCCGGGTCGCTCTGAGCGCCTCCTTCTGCCTCTCTGCTCTGAGGCCGAGGGCCAGGAGGAGGACCAGGGGGAACAGCAGGGAGAACCAGGAGGAGGTGCTCTGAGGACCAGAACCAGGAGGAGAACCAGGGTTTTTTAGGATCAAAATGGCAGTTTTGAGTCAAATAGAAAGTCAGAAAAAGTTATTGCGACAATGTTAGAATAGCTCTGATCAACCAATCAGAGGAGGGACTCAATTTGACAGTTTTGAGTCCACAACGACGTTTAAATCGACCCACAATGAATCAAAATGAGTCCACACCAACATCAACGTATGCTAATGTCTAAATGTCCCGGCAGTTTCTATGAGCTGGAGACCCTACTCTACATTTCTATCAGAACACTTTGGGGTCTCAACATGTCCGGGTCGCTGTGAGCTGTTTTCAGAATGGAGAAGAGCTCACGTTGTCTTCTGTTTCTGATTTGCATCTTTAATGTGACTTTGAAAAGAGACTGTGTGAACAGCTCATCAGTACGGAGGCCGACGCGAGCAAAACACTTCTTTAGTAGAAATACGCTGCAGATTCAGAAACGATGCAGATATCCGCCGTCCAGGAAAACCCCAAAGAGTTTCTGCATCTGTTTTAAAGTCTAAAGTTTAAATAGACGTCTTAATGTCCAACATTCATCAAACTCAGTCCAGAGAACACACATGGACAGTTCTGGTTAAACCTGAGATGTCTTATCTTGAAATGGACTCAGCTTCCTCAATAACCCACACACACTACAGAACTGTCCTGATCTGCCCAGACATGTTTGAACTATTGTCTGCTAAGCTATCTAATGCTAATAAACGCAGCCCAGGGAACTCTGTCTAATATCTTTAATCAACTTTGAATGAGTTTCTGATTCATGTTTCTCGCTTTCAGAGACTAATCCTGGCAAATCTGGAGCACATGTTTGTGTATTTGAACGCGGGGCGATGCACATTTCTTCACATCGCTGATAAAAATAAACCGACAGCTCACTTTTTTATTGGGAAAAAGTACAAATATAGCTCAGAGAAAGATGTGATAGGTTTAAAGAAACATGCACTTTTATTGTTTAATCATTCCCTTAGATCCTTTCCTGACTAAAGGGACACCTGTGAGGACTGAAATGCATTGTGGGAAAACAGTATCAGGCGACCTCTCGCTGCGTTTAATCTGTGACCCTTCAGATAATCTCGTTTAAGCTCTTTTATTAAATTCAGACGCAGAAACTGGAGCGTTTATAGTTTTATTGTTGCACATGATGTTTGAATCAAAGGTACTTTCAGTATTTAACGCCCTGATTACGGAGAGGGGGGGGGGGGATGCATTTAATTCAGATGACATGTTATTCTAAGGGGTTAGGGTCCACGTGTACTGGGTTAGGGTTAGGGTCCACGTGTACTGGGTTAGGGTTAGGGTCCACGTGTACTGGGTTAGGGTTAGGGTCCACGTGTACTGGGTTAGGGTTAGGGTCCACCTGTACTGGGTTAGGGTTAGGGTCCACGTGTACTGGTTAGGGTTAGGGTCCACGTGTACTGGGTTAGGGTTAGGGTCCACCTGTACTGGGTTAGGGTTAGGGTCCACGTGTACTGGGTTAGGGTTAGGGTCCACGTGTACTGGGTTAGGGTTAGGGTCCACGTGTACTGGGTTAGGGTTAGGGTCCACATGTACTGGGTTAGGGTGTATGGTTAGGGTCCACGTGTACTGGGTTAGGGTTAGGGTCCACGTGTACTGGGTTAGGGTTAGGGTCCACATGTACTGGGTTTAGGGTGTATGGTTAGGGTCCACGTGTACTGGGTTTAGGGTCAACATGTACTGGGTTAGGGCTAGGGTCCACATGTACTGGGTTAGGGTTAGGGTCCACGTGTACTGGGTTAGGGTTAGGGTCCACGTGTACTGGGTTAGGGTTAGGGTCCACGTGTACTGGGTTAGGGTTAGGGGTCCACGTGTACTGGGTTAGGGTTAGGGTCCACCGTGTACTGGGTTAGGGTTAGGGTCCACGTGTACTGGGTTAGGGTTAGGGTCCACATGTACTGGGTTAGGGGTGTATGGTTAGGGTCCACATGTACTGGGTTAGGGTTAGGGTCCACATGTACTGGGTTAGGGTTAGGGTCCACATGTACTGGGTTAGGGTGTATGGTTAGGGTCCACGTGTACTGGGTTAGGGTGTATGGTTAGGGGTCCACCTGTACTGGGTTAGGGTTAGGGTCCACATGTACTGGGTTAGGGTTAGGGTCCACATGTACTGGGTTAGGGTTAGGGTCACATGTACTGGGTTATGGGTTAGGTCCCATGTACTGGGTAGGTTAGGGTCCACGTGTACTGGGTTAGGGTTAGGGTCCACGTGTACTGGGTTAGGGTTAGGGTCCACAAGTACTGGGTTAGGGTTAGGGTCCACATGTACTGGGTTAGGGTTAGGGTCCACGTGTACTGGGTTAGGGTTAGGGTCCACATGTACTGGGTTAGGGTTAGGGTCCACGTGTACTGGGTTAGGGTTAGGGTCCACGTGTACTGGGTTAGGGTTAGGGTCCACATGTACTGGGTTAGGGGTTAGGGTCCACGTGTACTGGGTTAGGGTTAGGGTCCACGTGTACTGGGTTAGGGTTAGGGTCCACATGTACTGGGTTAGGGTTAGGGTCCACGTGTACTGGGTTAGGGTTAGGGTCCACGTGTACTGGGTTAGGGTTAGGGTCCACATGTACTGGTGTGTGTGTTCTAAGCTCATAAACTACAGATAAATGACATTTGGTTTCCTGCAGACCCTTCATCTGTTTTTGTTTTGTTTTTATTGATCATTAATCATCTCAGCTGTTATCTTTGTTTGTGTGTTGATGCATATTCAAATAATAATGAGGAAATGTGTTCCCATGTTATTTTTTATTAAAGACACACACACACACACACACACACACACACACACACACACACACACACACACACACACACACACACACACACACACACAGAGACTGCACCGAGTGTAAAACCAAACTCAATAGCAAACTAACACTTCCGGTAAAAGCTTTCAAAATAAAGGGTGTAGTTACCCTCCCTGGCCACCAGATGGCAGTGAACGCTTCACTCTGTTTTATTTCTAATTATTCTTATAATGTATGTTATAAATGTGGATTTATGAAATTAATATTTTCTGTACAGAAATCACTTTAAATAACAATAAAAACAGATCATGAATATTTTATTTGTGCGTTTATTATTTCCAGTAACACACACACACACACACACACACACACACACACACACACACACACCACACACCACACACACAACACACACACACACACACACACACACACACACACACACACACACACACACACACACACACACACACACACACACACACACTAAAGTGCACAGACTGTAACGTTAAAAATATCTCCGCTACCGGCCTCATCAACAAGGCCCGGGAGCCCTAGGGACCCCCAGGGACCCCCAGTGAGCTGTCAGGGGCGGTTCCAGACCTATTTTACTGGGGCGACCAGGCTGGGGCCAAAAGACAAAGACAGTATAAAGTAATTGTGTAAAATAAACATAAAATACAGTGATTGGTATTTGTACATTTAAATTACAGTTCTTTGTTTCAGTCGTTTTTTTCATTTACATCAGGGGTGTCCAAACTACGGGCCGGGGGTCAAATGCGGCCCGCGGCCCATTTTGAATCGGCCCTCAGCTAATTCAGAAAGTATAATGTAATACGGCCCACAAATGAAACTTGAGCTTGTCTTATATTGCACTTCTTAAATACATCTGTAAACATATATTACTCAGTAGCATTCATGTGTTAGTAGGTCCACTTTTCAAACACATTCAGTCAGTGAAAGTTGGAACAAATGTCAAACAATTCTTAGTTAATACAAAATAAGCCCAATAACTTAATTACATAACAAGCTTGAAATAAACCCTTAATATTTCCTCTTCTTATCGTCAATCTGTTTTAAGGAATGAGCTGCTAACGAGATCAAGTAAACCCTCTGGAGAGCTGGGAGCTGTGCATATTAAAGTATCAAGAATCATTGACCTTCATTTGATTGATTTTGCCTACTTAACTGATCATCCTCTAGTGAGCGGCCCAGACCTTCGTATATCTTTCTGTGGCCCTCGGTGAAAACAGTTTGGACCCCCCTGCTTTAGGGTATTTGTTTTAGTTACTTTAAGTGACAATTTAATTAAAAAACATAAACAGTATTTGCTTTTATAAGGTAATGAACAGTTTAATCTCCGCTGTATATCTGTAGATTTGACTTAGTTCCAATTCATCTTAATATTATAACCTTGTTTTTGAAGGGGGGGGGCACAGGGGGGGTCCCTGGTCAGTGTTACGGCGGCACTGGCCTCTGTTGGCCCCCCTAGAACCGCCCCTGGACCCTGTACCTTATTCCAATTCTATTTCAATCATATTAAACGGTCTGTAGCTGATGCTTTTATTTTGAAGGCGGCTCCTTGGAGGCCCCGCCCCCAGCAGCTGTTTCCGGTTGTTTGTTGGTGTGGTCAGAGAGGAGGAGAAACATGGCGGCTCCGGTTCTCTCCAGTCGGGCCTCCGGCAGCAGCAGCTCCGGGAACAGCCTCTCCAACAGCCTCTCCAACAGCCCTACCTCCGGGGGGAGGGCGCCCCCCTCCGCGGGAACTGCAGAGCTGGACTTCAGGTCCGCGAGCCGCATGGAGGACCTGAACCGTTTGATCTCTGAGTTCAGCAAGCAGGAGCAGCGCGAGACCGACGATCAAAGGGCTCTGGAGATCCACACCGCCAAGGACTTCATCTTCAGCATGCTGGGTAACACACACACACACGCACACGCACACACCTACACTTATAACACACACACACACCTATAACACACATATAACACACACACACACACACACACACACACACACCACACACACACACACAAACACACACACACCTATAACACACACACCTATAACCACACTAGAACACAACACACACACACACACACCACACACACCCACACACCACACACACACACCTATAACACACACACCTATAACACACATAACACACACACCTATAACACACATAGCACACACACACACACACACACACACACACACACACACACACACACACACACACACACACACATATATAGAGATCCACCTGCCAAGGACTTCATCTTCAGCATGCTGGCTGAAGGAGAACACACACACACACACACACACACACACACACACACACACACACACACACACACACACACACACACACACACACACACACACACACACACACACACACACACACACACACACACACACACACACACACATATAGAGATCCACCTGCCAAGGACTTCATCTTCAGCATGCTGGCTGAAGGAGAACACACACACATATAACACACCACAGGTAGAGAGAACCCACCCATGACCCCCATGTTTTCCATTGACCTCCCTGTGTTGTCCAACCCCTGGCTCTCCCCCCAGGCATGGTGCAGAAGTTGGACCAGAAGACTCCCGGTGGCCAACGAGTAACCTGCTGCTGTCGGGCGGGGTCAGAGAGGGCGTGGTGGACATGGACCTGGAGGACCTGAGTGTGTGTTCCATGGGGACGGACTACGACATGGACTTCACTCTGCTGGTGCCCGCGCTCAAGCTGCACGACCGGAACCAGCCGGTGGTTCTGCTTTAAAATACTCTGGTGAAAGTAGAAGTACTGACTAAACTTCTTTACTCAAGTGAAAGTAAAGAGGGCTTTGAAATGTACTTCAGTAAAAAAGTACCCATAACTAGCAGCTGTTTTAAAGAGTACCTGACCCTCCCTTATATTAATAGAACAATAATGTCATTGTTAGCTAATGAATGTTTCCATGCTGAACAACGGCAACATGACAACGTTTTCATTGGTCCCTCTTCTTTAGAGAAGACCAGGAAATGATGGATACACGGATCGTGTTCAACATCAATAGGCACGCAATGACTCTAAATAATAATGATCACGCCACCAGACACACATTCAAACTAAAGGAACCAGCCGTGTTTGGGAAATGTGAGAAGTAGAAAAGTACAGGTATTTGGGTTCAACATGTAAGAAGTAGAAAGTACAGGTACTTGGGTTCAAACATGTAAGAAGTAGAAAGTACAGGTATTTGTGTTCAACATGTGAGAAGTAGAAAGTAGCAGGTATTTGTGTTCAACATGTGAGAAGTAGAAAGTACAGGTATTTGAGTTCAACATGCTATAGAAGTATGAGTAAAGTACAGGTATTTGGGTTCACAATGTAAGAAGTAGAAAGTACAGGTATTTGGTTCAACATGTAGAAGTAGAAAGTACAGGTATTTGTGTTCAACATGTAAGAAGTAGAAAGTACAGGTATTTGGTTCAACATGTAGAAGTAGAAAGTACAGGTATTTGTTCAACATGTAAGAAGTAGAAAGTACAGGTATTTGAGTTCAACATGTAAGAAGTAGAAAGTACAGGTATTTGGGTTCAACATGTGAGAAGTAGAAAGTACAGGTATTTGTGTTCAACATGTAAGAAGTAGAAAGTACAGGTATTTGTGTTCAACATGTAAGAAGTAGAAAGTACAGGTATTTGGGTTCAACATGTAAGAAGTAGAAAGTACAGGTATTTGTGTTCAACATGTAAGAAGTAGAAAGTACAGGTATTTGGGTTCAACATGTAAGAAGTAGAAAGTACAGGTATTTGTGTTCAACATGTAAGAAGTAGAAAGTACAGGTATTTGGGTTCAACATGTAAGAAGTAGAAAGTACAGGTATTGTGTTCAACATGTAAGAAGTAGAAAGTACAGGTATTTGGGTTCAACATGTAAGAAGTAGAAAGTACAGGTATTTGTGTTCAACATGTAGAAGTAGAAAGTACAGGTATTTGGGTTCAACATGTAAGAAGTAGAAAGTACAGGTATTTTGTTCAACATGTAAGAAGTAGAAAGTACAGGTATTTGAGTTCAACATGTAAGAAGTAGAAAGTACAGGTATTTGTGTTCAACATGTGAGAAGTAGAAAGTACAGGTATTTGTGTTCAACATGTAAGAAGTAGAAAGTACAGGTATTTGTGTTCAACATGTAAGAAGTAGAAAGTACAGGTATTTGTGTTCAACATGTAAGAAGTAGAAAGTACAGGTATTTGGGTTCAACATGTAAGAAGTAGAAAGTACAGGTATTTGTGTTCAACATGTAAGAAGTAGAAAGTACAGGTATTTGTGTTCAACATGTAAGAAGTAGAAAGTACAGGTATTTGGGTTCAACATGTAAGAAGTAGAAAGTACAGGTATTTGTGTTCAACATGTAGAAGTAGAAAGTACAGGTATTTGTGTTCAACATGTAAGAAGTAGAAAGTACAGGTATTTGTGTTCAACATGTAGAAGTAGAAAGTACAGGTATTTGGGTTCAACATGTAAGAAGTAGAAAGTACAGGTATTTGGGTTCAACATGTAAGAAGTAGAAAGTACAGGTATTTGGGTTCAACATGTAAGAAGTAGAAAGTACAGGTATTTGGGTTCAACATGTAAGAAGTAGAAAGTACAGGTATTTGTTTCAACATGTAAGAAGTAGAAAGTACAGGTATTTGTGTTCAACATGTAAGAAGTAGAAAGTACAGGTATTTGGGTTCAACATGTAAGAAGTAGAAAGTACAGGTATTTGGGTTCAACATGTAAGAAGTAGAAAGTACAGGTATTTGGGTTCAACATGTAAGAAGTAGAAAGTACAGGTATTTGGGTTCACATGTAAGAAGTAGAAAGTACAGGTATTTGGGTTCAACATGTAAGAAGTAGAAAGTACAGGTATTTGTGTTCAACATGTAAGAAGTAGAAAGTACAGGTATTTGTGTTCAACATGTAAGAAGTAGAAAGTACAGGTATTTGTGTTCAACATGTAAGAAGTAGAAAGTACAGGTATTTGTGTTCAACGTGAAGTAGAAAGTACAGGTATTTGGGTTCAACATGTAAGAAGTAGAAAGTACAGGTATTTGGGTTCAACATGTAAGAAGTAGAAAGTACAGGTATTGGGTTCAACATGTAAGAAGTAGAAAGTACAGGTATTTGGGTTCAACATGTAAGAAGTAGAAAGTACAGGTATTTGTGTTCAACATGTAAGAAGTAGAAAGTACAGGTATTTGTGTTCAACATGTAAGAAGTAGAAAGTACAGGTATTTGAGTTCAACATGTAAGAAGTAGAAAGTACAGGTATTTGAGTTCAACATGTAAGAAGTAGAAAGTACAGGTATTTGTGTTCAACATGTGAGAAGTAGAAAGTACAGGTATTTGGGTTCAACATGTAAGAGTAGAAAGTACAGGTATTTGGGTTCAACATGTAAGAAGTAGAAAGTACAGGTATTTGAGTTCAACATGTAAGAAGTAGAAAGTACAGGTATTTGGTTCAACATGTAAGAAGTAGAAAGTACAGGTATTTGGGTTCAACATGTGAGAGTAGAAAGTACAGGTATTTGTGTTCAACATGTGAGAAGTAGAAAGTACAGGTATTTGAGTTCAACATGTAAGAATAGAAAGTACAGGTATTTGAGTTCAACATGTAAGAAGTAGAAAGTACAGGTTTTGGGTTCAACATGTAAGAAGTAGAAAGTACAGGTATTTGTGTTCAACATGTAAGAAGTAGAAAGTACAGGTATTTGTGTTCAACATGTAAGAAGTAGAAAGTACAGGTATTTGGGGTCAACATGTAAGAAGTAGAAAGTACAGGTATTTGGGTTCAACATGTAAGAAGTAGAAAGTACAGGTATTTGTGTTCAACATGTAAGAAGTAGAAAGTACAGGTATTTGTGTTCAACATGTGGAAGTAGAAAGTACAGGTATTTGTGTTCAACATGTAAGAAGTAGAAAGTACAGATATTTGGTTCAACATGTAAGAAGTAGAATACAGGTATTTGTGTTCAACATGTAAGAAGTAGAAAGTACAGGTATTTGTGTTCAACATGTAAGAAGTAGAAAGTACAGGTATTTGGGTTCAACATGTAAGAAGTAGAAAGTAAAAAGTCATCAGAATAATAAGTAGTGGAGTAAAGTACTGATACCAGAAACATGTACTTAAGTACAGTAACAAAGTATTTGTACTCCAACACTTCCCACCTCTGTTGAGTTACATTATAAATGACGTTGTTGTACTTATTGTGTTCTCTCATTATTAATAACCTGTGCATACTAAGTCTTTTATATATTTTATAAGATGTAATTCTATCTTTCTGCTGCTGTAATAATGTCTCTTTTGCTAACATGTTGTGTCATGTGACCAGATGACTCTGCGTCACTCTGCTCTCTGATTGGACCAGGTGACTCTGCGTCACTCTTCCCTCTCTGGTTATTGATCCCTCTCTTCTCTCTCTTCTCTCTGATTGGACCAGGTGACTCTGCGTCACTCTTCTCTCTCTTGGTTATTGATCCCTCTCTTCTCTCTCTTCTCTCTGATTGGACCAGGTGACTCTGGATATGCGTCACTCTTCTCTCTCTGGTTATTGATCCCTCTCTTCTCTCTCTTCTCCTGATTGGACCAGGTGACTCTGGACATGCGTCACTCTTCTCTCTCTGGTTATTGATCCCTCTCTTCTCTCTCTTCTCTCTGATTGGACCAGGTGACTCTGGACATGCGTCACTCTTCTCTCTCTGGTTATTGATCCCTCTCTTCTCTCTCTTCTCTGATTGGACCAGGTGACTCTGGACATGCGTCACTCTTCTCTCTGGTTATTGATCCCTCTCTTCCCTCTCTTCTCTCTGATTGGACCAGGTGACTCTGCGTCACTCTGCTCTCTGGTTATTGATCCCTCTCTCTCTCTCTGGTTATTGATCCCTCTCTTCTCTCTGATTGGACCAGGTGACTCTGCGTCACTCTGCTCTCTGGTTATTGATCCCTCTCTTCTCTCTCTTCTCTCTGATTGGACCAGGTGACTCTGGACATGCGTCACTCGGCTCTCGGCCACTCCTGGCTCAGCCTCCGGCTCTTCGATGAGGGCACCATCGCTAAGTGGAAGGACTGCTGCACCCTGATGGAGCACAACATCAGCGGAGCCACCAACTACTTCTTCTCCCCCACGCTGGTCTCTGATTGGTTCCACCCGCGCCCGCGTGTCCCTGGTGCTGCTGGAGGTGCAGAAGAAGCCTCAGAGGGGGATGCCCCGCGTGGAGAAGGTGATTCAAATCAAGGGCTTATTGGCATACGCACAGAGAGAGTATCAGAAGGTGCTGATTCTCTGTCTGTTACTGTACACACACATTCAGAGAAACACACACACCACCACTCACTTAGACACACACCAACAGAGAAACACACACACACACTTAGACACACACACACACAGAGAAACACACACACACTTAGACACACACACACACAGAGAAACACACACACTTAGACACACACACACACACAGAGAAACAAACACACACCACTTAGACACACACACACACAGAGAAAACACACACACAACACCACACTTAGACACACACACCACACACTTAGACACACACCACTTAGACACCCACACACAACCACAGAAACACACACACACACACACACAGAGAAACACACACACACACTTAGACACACACACACAGAGAAACACACACACCACACACACGCATACAGAGAAACACACACACACACACACTTAGACACACACACACAGAGAGAAACACACACACACAGAGAAACACACACACACAAACACACACACATACAGAGAAACACACACACAACACACACTTAGACAACACACACACACACACACAGAAACACACCACACACACACTTAGCACCACACACAGAGAGAAACACACACACACACAAGAAACACACACACACCACACACACATACAGAAAACACACACACACACACACACACACACACAGAAACACACACACACACACTTAGACACACACACACAGAGAAACACACACACTTAGACACACACACACATACAGAGAAACACACACACACACACACACACACACTTAGACACACACACAGACACAGAGAAACACACACACACACTTAGACAACACACACAGAGAAACACACACACACACAGAGAAACACACACACTTAGACACACACACAGACAGAAAACCACACACACACAACACACACACCCACTTAGACACACCACACACACAGAGAAACACACACCACACTTACACACACACACACACAGAGAACACACACACACACTTAGACACACACACACAAAAAACACACACACCACTTAGACACACACACACAGAGAAACACACACACACACTTAGACACACACACACACAGAGAAACACACACACACACTTAGACACACACACACACAGAGAAACACACACACAACACACACACTTAGACACACACACACACACAGAAACACACACACAACACACACACACAGAGAAACACACACACACACTTAGACACACACACACAGAGAAACACACACACAACACACACACGCATACAGAGAAACACACACACACACACACTTAGACACACACACACACAATAAACACACACACACACTTAGACACACACACAGAGAGAACAACACAACAGACCAAAACACACACACACAACCACACACACATACAGAGAAACACACACACACACACTACTTAGACACACACACACACACAGAGAAACACACACACACACACTTAGACACACACACAGAGAGAAACACACACACACACAGAGAAACACACACACTTAGACACACACACACATACAGAGAAACACACACACACACACACACACACACACTTAGACACACACATATACAGAGAACACACACACAACACACACACTTAGACACACACAGAGAAACACACACACAACACACACTTAGACACCACACACACATAGAGAGAAACAAAGCCCATGCGTAACACTCGCTAACCGGCTCTTTTGTTTTGAGTTATTTTGAGTTTGATATATTTCTGATGTTTGCCGCTGCGTTCGGCGGCCAGAGGAGGAACAGCCAGTGCTCGTGCTCACGGGGATCTTAATAAAGATGATTGTGTCCAGGTGGAGAGGAACGGCACGGTGATCTCCGTGGTGCTCGGCGTGGCAGCCGCCGCATGCTGTAACGACATCGTGCCCGTGGTCTCCTTCAAAGGCTGGCCGGCGGTGGCTCAGAGCTGGGCTGATGGAGAACCACTTCTGGGACGGAAAGATCACGGAGGAGGAGGTGATCAGCGTTCTACCTGGTGCCCGCCTGCTCTCCGGGGGCCGCAAGGAGAACGAGTGGAGGCTGTCGTTCGCCCGCAGCGAGGTGGGTGTGAAGTGTGTGTTAATACCTGTCCATTAATCAGGAGTACTTTCACGTTTAAAAATGGTGGTGTTGTGTGTACCTGTGTGTGTACCTGTTGTGTACCTGTGTGTTAATCAGGAGTAACTGACCTATCAGAGGCTAGACTAAAGTACTGAGTAGGGATAATGTGCAGCAAGGGTTAGGGACATTATCCCGCTTATCACATGACCACATGCTAAACAAACGTGTGTGTGTGTGTGTGTGTGTGTGTGTGTGTGTTGTTGTGTGTGTGTGGTGTGTGTGTGTGTGTGTGTGTGTGGTGTGGGTGTGTGGTGTGTGTTGTGTGTGTGTGATCTGGCTGCTGCAGCGGCTCTGATGAATAATTGAGTCACATTTCCTGTGAGAGTATTCTGCGTCTGTTTGTGGTTTGTCTGTAAACGTTATTTATGAGAGGCGTGTTCTCCGGCGCTCAGGAACCCTACATATTTGATATTTTGTTATATTTATGACATTATAGATCTGCAAAAGATTGAACATGTGTCAAACACTGACAGGTTGTAATAGAGAGGTGAAGTCCCTCCTCTTCCGGTGGACCTCCATGGGACCTTATTTCGGAAAAAATTATGTATTGAAGTCAATGAGAGAGAAAGATTATCTTTCGATCCCGTTTGAATTGTGCCATGAATTACACATATGATGTTTTCAATCTTAAAAGATAATTTTGCAAGTCAAAAAAAAAAGATGTGTGGTAAAACTGTGAAGTAACACATTTGTTTGTGTGAACGCTCAATGAACTACATCTGATCTCTGGTCACACACACGTCACCAAGATGGCCGTCACTACTGTCTTGTCAACAAACCGATTGACTTCCCTCACTATCACCACAAATGAAACACGTCCTGAAGAATGTCATGCAAAGCTGCCTGCCTGCCTTCCTTTGATTCTCTCTGAACTGCCTGGTCGTTTTAATGTTTAATGTCAACCATTTGTGCAGATAGCATGAATAGAGAAGATCGCTAGCGTTAGCATTAGCATTTCTCCCCCGGGCTTAAATGGTGTATTATAGAATGATCACACCGGTGACAGTACTCTTCAAAGGGTTCACGACAATATGACTACTACTCTTACTGTTTAACATGTTGGGTTACTTCATGTTACTTCATGTTAAGGCTAATAAAAATGACAAGGCTGTAATGCTAACTAACGTGCTAGCTACTAGCTAGGTAGCTAACTTGATCAGCCCACTCCTGGTCGTTTCATCGACGGGAAGCAAAAAGAACGAGCAAGACCCATTGCTGGTATAATAACAACCTGGTACTAAGCACACAGGCATCTTGTTAAAGTTATCTTATCTTAGCCAGCGCCATATGATAGATTATATCTATATGCGCTGATCTTAGCTATCTCTTAGGGAGGAAAACAATTGTGACATCACTTACGGCGACTCTCGGATTTGTAGTCTTTCTAGTTGCGTATTTTTCTTATATCAACAGTTTTATGACAAACTGACTTTTTTGACATGGAAATTATTTTTTAAGATTGACAAACATCATGTGTGTATTCATGGCACAATTCAAACGGGGATCAAAGATAAGTTTCTCTCCCCATTGACTTCAATACATTATTTTTCCGAAATAAGGTCCCCATGGGGCGGAAGTGATGGGCGTGACTTCGCCTCTCTATTGAGTTTTACAGAGGACAGGAAGTGATGTCATTCCTCTTTTTAACAAAAGTTATACTTATTTTAAAGTGACAGATGTACTGCGATAATATGTGTGCAGGTTACAGACTGAAGGTCAGTTTTCAGCAGGGACACTAATACTGATTAACTATACGTATATTAAAAGACCTGAAACTCTTTCATGTCTGTTTCCAAACCGTTTACATTTAGTATTTTGAGCAATTTGAAATATAAAGCATTTATGCATTGTGGATTAGACAACATTACATTCAGGGTTTTTCTCTAGGACAATACAGCATGACGTCACTTCCATCGTAAATCTAAATCTAAAAAAAGAAATTAAATGTTTTTAATTAAAATATCAGATTATTTGCCGTTTTTGAGGAAATATTGTTTCTGGCATCACTTTAACATTTTAGGATCTGCACCTTGGTTTGAGGCCGCAGCGCCTCTGTTACCACGGTGCAGATGGAACCCTGACATTGATTATAATA